GAATTAATCGTGAGGCTTTTAGCTTTCAAATATCTTGTTTTTCATGGAGCAATTACGAACTTATCAAAAATCAATTTCTTGTTGGCGTTAAAACATTCGGGGTTAGATTTATAAGTCGTGTAATCAAGAGATCAATATATTGTCGGCGATTGTGTTTGTTGCTTAATTTTTGGTCGAATCCAAAACCTCGATTTATTGGCTTTTTTGGGTTGATTCTAATCTCGTTGTAGGTTGTGTAGCTACTATTGCTACGTGGTTCTCATCACAACCGATCTAGGAAAGGATCCAGGAGCTGCACCACCTGGAATGCAAACAATAGACGTCAGAGAAGCAGTCGATCCAGTGGGAAGACGATCCGGAGGAGACAAGAGGCTCAAAAGGCGAAATTGTGTTTAGGTCGGAGTCAAGATGGCGAAAGGAAATGGTGTTCGTCCAAGCGCGCTACAGCAACATCATGAGTGTTGTGCCGAAGGCGTTTTGATGGTGGTGTGTGGTGAATGAAGAGAGAGAGAGAGAGAGAGAGAGAGAGAGACAATGATTAAGGATTGAAAAATTTGACGTGATTGAAAGATTTAGGATAATGTATATAGATTAATTTATTAATTATTTAATGTTATTATTAAATTAAAATGGGTAATTATTATCCGATCTTGGTATAAATAAATCTTAAACACGATTTTTGAAATTTGAACTTTAAAAAATCTGGTTGCTTGTAATTTCCACAATAATTATTGACAATGGGCTTGACAACAAATATAAAATTATTTTCTCATGTATTGTAAAACTAAAAAAAGGAAAAAATATATATTCTCGGTATGGAATTGTTCATTTTATGGAAATGGGGGTTGAAAATAATAAAAGATATATAAATAAAAGAAAAGACAAAAATGGTGAAATTATAAAGTAGAAAATTTTAAATGTCCAATAATATGTATAATTGAAAATATGTGACCAATGGGAATGGGGATTGTATGCGAACAGTTATTTGGTTGATTGTAATCATAAATTGGTTAATATGTGACAAATAAATAATTTGTGACCAATTATTTTGTTGATTAAATAAGTTGTAACTTATAATTTGTGATATTGTGATCGATGAGTAAATTATGACCTATAAATTTTTATATGCGACGACAATAATTTGTGACCTATAAATTTTTTGATTTGTGACAGATAAATAATTTGTAATCTATAAAAAAATTTATTTGTGACCCAAAAATAAGCAATTAATTCAATAATTTGTGATCATAATATATTTAATTAATAAAATATTTTTTTATTAATAATTTCATAAATAAAATTTAATAATATCTTAATTTTTGAAGTTTTAAACTTTATTTCTTAATTTTAAAATGGATCGTATTTAAATATGAATTTTTCCCTTTTAATAATATTACCCACTAGAAGAATCCATTTCATGATGTTACCCACTAAGAAAAATAATAATTTGTCAACCGCACCATCTTAGAACATTTTAATTAGCCCCCATTTACTGTCTATTATAAAAAAAAAGCAATTCCAGCTAGCAGACTGACTCAATAAATAATATTAAAATGGATCATAATCAGTTTCGTAAAGGGAGAAAAAGTTCGTATAGAAACTGGGTAAAAGTCTCAAGACCTCAATTAATTAGCAACATTCTTTTTCTTGATATTAATGAAAATATAATGCATCAGATCCAAAGCACATGGAACTCAGCACGGCACGTGCATGCACCACTCCTATCTCCCATAATAATCTTATTTTTCACAAAATTCAGCGTAGAATGTTCCTCTTTTAGTTTTGTCTAATCGTCACAATTGCAAACACTTAGGCCCTATTTGGAAGAGATTAGATTTTTCTACAGTAAATCAATTCTCATTTTCAACCATACATTTTTTAATAAAATAATATTTTCCATTACATCAATAATTTTTTCTTCTTTTTCAACCACACATTTCCCATCATATCACTATTCAAAATCAATTCAATCTTTCAACCATACATTCTTCAATAAAATAATATTTTCCATCACATCAATAACCTTTTTTTCTTTTTCAACCACACATTTCCCATCATATCACTATTCAAAATCAATTCTTCCTCTAAAAATCTTTTCCAAACAAGCTCTTATTATTTTATAACACACATTGTGTTTTAGGAACACACGAGGCCCGCACACGGTAAAGTTCAATGTCCACGTTTTTTTCACTCGTCCGTCATACACCTTGTACACAAACAACCGTCGATATCACGTCAACTCAACTCACGAACTACGAGACTTCAGCCAAATTTTGAACCAATGCGAGATTCGACTATAGCACACTAACAATACAATACCAATATGTACGTTATATAATACCTCCATATTAATTAAAATACTATAATAGACGATGTTTCGGTTTCCTTTTTCCTTTTTCATTAATTTACTCATCAAACAAGTTAATTATTACATGAAATTTTACGATATCTTCTATTTTTTGGTCTAATGTGGTCCGATTTAAGATACCCTTATAAATTTTTCAAGACTAATTGATTTCTCGTTTGCTTGAAAATAATTTCTAACGAATCAAATAACTAAATCTCACTAAAATGATTTTCAAGATCCAATGGATAATTAAATCAAAGTTAGCTACTTACCCAATAATTTAACGTTGAATAATTATTTGTTATGGACATTACTTGTTTCTACCATTTACATCATTCACGTGTGAAATGCATGACAATGTCGTGTAGTGTCTGAACCATACATAACCTGCTGTCGTTTTGACAATCATTAGATCCATTGGCTACAAATTTGCAGCTCATTAATGTTTCCATAAAAATGGAAACAGAAATTGCACTCTACGAATGCCCCCATGAAAAATGGAAAAAATATACGACATTTTAATATTATTATTCAAAGCCCATTTCGTAATTTTTATTAAACGGTTTTTTGTGGACTGTAAAATCTCTATTTGATTTAGATAAAAATCATATTTTTAATACATTTTGATAAAAGTTGATAAAATGTGTGGTTGAAAATTGTTAATTTCATAAAATGTGATTAAAAATGAGTTTGAGAAAATGAGAATTGAACATCGACTAAATCAAGCTTTGGAAGGAGAGACGTAATGCCCAAGTTCTAACATAGAGCAAACAAACAATTAACTTATGGACCGACTATGTAACCACTGCCACTTTTTTTTTCCTTTTAATTTTAGCTGTAATTTTTTTATATATTAATATTTAGTTATTATTTATAATACGAATAAATTACACAAATTTTAAATTCTTTAAAAATTTTTTAGATTTGTCACAAATTTAGAAAAAAAAAAAAGTCGAGCTGAATGCTCAGGTTGAGTATAAATTTTTTGGCCGAATTTTTTCTTGGCTCAGACAAAAAAATGTTCGAATTATTTTTACTCGAGACGAGCTCGAGCAAAAAGCTTCGACTCGTGACTCGGCTCGTTGACACCCCAATGTAACCTTTAACAATAATGCAATGAGGGGTGTCAAGCGTTAATGAAATTGATAATATACTTTCTATCTGGCAAAATTTTGTTTTTAATCATACGTTTTAATTGACTCATAAGTACTATTTACTCATTCACGTATCATTTCTACTATTTATATAATTTTCCCTCTTGTACTCGACAATATTAAATAAATACAGAATAAAAACACAATCAAATAAAATTGGACAAAAATTCGAAAGTTATTCAAAGACAAATGTATACAAATAAACAAGTCTACAATTCTTATGGATTATAAATTTTTTGGCCGGTTATTGTACTCTTTTCCTTTTATCATTTACTCAAATGTCTAATACAAAAGACAAAAATTTCAGTAATATTTTCAAATCAATTCACATGATCCCATGATACATAAATGCAAATCACACACACTCACAAACACGTGGGTGTGTGTGTGTTCATGC